TGTGTGTGTGTGTGTGTGTGTGTAGCCAGCTCAGCCCACCAGGGGGCGGGGCTGGCTGGCATGTGGTGCTGGGGGATTGAACTGCGGTCCCTGTGCTTTGTTAAGCTTGTTCTATTAGACCACTGAGCCATCTCACCAGCCCCAAGCCTGAACTTTTTAGACCTGTCTCAAAAATACCACCACCAACAACAAAAAAGATTGAAGTGGGGCCGGGGAAATGGCTCAGTAGTATAAGTGCTTCCCTGGCAAGCACAAGGGCCTGAGTTCAATCCCTGGTTCCGCAAAAAAAAAAAAAAAAAAAAGATTGAACTGAAAATTTAATGCACAAATATCTGGTTCAGGAGCCGGAGAGATGGCTCAGTGCATTAAGCGCTTCCCTGGCAAGTGCAAGGGTCTGAGTTCAATCCCCTGTTATGGCAAAAAAAAGAAAACAAATATCTGGTTCAATTGTGTAAGATAAAATAAAACCTACCTATTGGAGCTGGGTGTGGTGACATATGCCTGTGACCCCAACATTCTGAAGGCTGAGGCAGGAGGACTGTAATGAGTTCCAGAACAGCCTGGGCTACATAGTGATTTCAAGGCGAGTGGGATCCTATCAAAAAAACCAAAACCAATACAACAACAACAACAAAAGAACAAATTTACCAATTAGCACAACGATTTTAACGGGCAAAACCAAATTGTCAAATTGGACCTGACTCTCCCAGCCCCCAATCTGCCTGCAAGCAGAGGCACTGCTTTGCAGGTAACTTAGGTCATTACCATTGGCAGGCACAGGAAAGGAAATAAGAGAAGGAATTTTGCAGGGCCTGGGGACATCTAGAGACACCCAAGAACTTGCACTGGACATTTCAAAAGCTTTTCTGCGTGGAGGGTGCAAGATTCTCTGAGAACTTTGACCAGTTAGTTACTTGGATCTTCCTGCCTAACGTCCTTGCCTTCTCCATCCCTATAAAAGGGGACACACTTCTTTTTGTTAGGGCAGATGGTGTTATCTGCCTGCACCCAGGCACAATAAATTCGATGTTGCCTTTACACAACCCTGCCCCCCCCGTGCTAAATATGTTATAATTACTATTTCCAGAAACTCTTAGCTGCCCAAAGGCCCTGTACCCAGTAGGCTTTCTGATGCACACGTAAAGTTGAGGTGCAGACCAGAAAGAAGTCATTTCACTAGACAGCATTTCGCTGAAATGCGGGGCACAGGGATGGTGCTTTGAACGTGCAGAGTGGCCCTGGCCTACAGCTCAAGGTCTCGTGGGTCCATGCCTCGTAGCTGGGCCAACTACGAGGTTTGGGATCCCTAGACCTGGCCCAGGGCCAAATGCGGGGCCCTCTCGCTCCTTCCGGAGCTCTGCCTCGAACTCCTCGGGGCCGTGAGGCTGGGGGCTGCTGCAGAGTTCAAACGGCTTTAGAGGCCGTTAAGAGATCTTTTCAAATGCAAGGTGTCTGCCTCTATTGATGCCTGAGACCCCTGCGAAGAGGGAATGGACGATGAATATCCACCACTAGTAAACAACGCACCGAGCCTAAAACACAGAATCCAACCCGAACTTTGGTCATTTTCAGCGCGACTCCTCCCGTTTAGTTTTCTAGCTCCCGTAGGGACAGTGTAGTTAACGTTCGGATGAGCGTCCCAGCGGAGGAGGTGTGGCTGCCGGTGCACAGGATTAGAGGAGGGGTCCCGGCTTCTGAACCCGTGCGCTGGGGATTGCGGACTGAGGTCCGCGGGCTGGGGCTGCCGCCAGGGGGCGCTGCGCCGGCGCCGCTTCGCAGGGGCGGGGCGGGGCGGGTGAGGGGCGTGGTCATCGGCAAGATGGCGGCGCCCGGCCTGCTGCGCTCTTTGTCGCGGCTGCTGGTTCCCGCCTGGATCCCGCGCGGACGTGAGTGTCCCTGTTTGCCCAGACCCTCTCGGCCCTCGGCCCACGTCGGCTCAGCGCGCACCTGGCCGTCCAGGGTGGGAGGCAGGGGCGGCGCGGCCCGCTGTGACCTTCGCGGCCCGGACCCCGCGTCCTCCGCGCAGCCGGGCTGTGTGCTCCCGGCCCCCGCGGCCTCCGCTAATGGATTCTCGCCTTTCTCCCGCGTGTGCAGCTCGGAGACCTCCCGGGTGTGGGAGCGGGGTTGAAATTCAACACGGTGATGCACACCTAAGTGTCTGTTTTACTTCTCAGTACAAGGTTGTAGGTTACAGATTCTCTCTGTCCCCTTTCAGCTTCAGCACGCTCGAAGTTCTACGTGCGCGACCCACCGAATGACAAACCAGACTGGCTGAAAGTTGGGCTGACCTTGGGCACCACCGCCTTCCTTTGGTTCTATGTGAGTGTGGGGTCTGCATTTTTTTTTTTTTTTTTCCGGAACCAGGGCTTGAACTCAAACCCTTGCGCTTGCCAGGGAAGCGCTTATTCTACTGAGCCATCTCCTGGGCTCGCCAGTAAAATTTCTTTACAAGGGATATCTCAAAAAAGATTTAAAATTAAAAATCCAAAGGCATGGAAAAATAATGAGGCTGATTCTATTTATTTGGAGACAAGGTCTTGTTATGTAGTTCAGAGTTCAAGCAGGCCTTGAGGGCCTGGGGAGATGGCTCAGTGGAATAAGCCCTTCCTTGGCAAGCCCAGGGGCCTGAGTTCAATCCCCGGTTCGGCCAAAAGAAAAAGCTGCCCTTGAACTCACTTTGCACCCCATGCTGGCCTCAAACTTGCAGCCATCCGCTTGCCTCAGCCTCCCAAGTGCTGGGATTACATCTACAGCCATGTGTCACCACACATCG